GGCGCACCCGCGTTTCAGGGTCTTCTTGATTCTGAGTTTTGTGACTACATTTGCGAAGGCGCTTTTGATTGGCTTTGGGCATATCCTGCTGGCGATACCAGATCTGATTTGCCAGTCTTTGCTCATGCAAGTACCGAATGCCCATGCCCAGTACTGGACTCTGTTATGCCGGTGTCTGCGCCCGAGCAATGGGCCCCGCCAACGTCACCTACTGTGCCTCAGATTTGTGACGTTTGCTTTCGCTTCGGCACTTACAATACTCTTTCCTGCCGCTCCAACCTACAAAGGCAATGCCTAGAGCACTTCATGAGAGCTCAAGGTCTGGCGGTGCTAGGTTTGCAGGAATGCCGGCAAGATGCTGAGCCGCAGTGTCAGGTAGGCGGTTGTTGGCGCTTTGCTGGTCCATCTGCCGAAGGCACGCTAGGTTGTCAGGTGTGGGTGCGCAATCTGCCAGAAGCCATATGGGCGCCTCACTGCTTTCAGGTCGCATACAGTAATCCGCGACTGCTTGTGGTGTATGGTCGCATTGCTGATGTTGAGCTGGCTTTGGTGTCCGGCCACTGCCCCACTTCTGTCGCGCCGCAATCTGAGCGCGACCAGTGGTGGACCACCCTCGGCGACCGTCTGTCGGCTCTTCCAGCTGGCGTTGTCCCTCTCCTCATGCTCGATGCTAACGCCCGTTTCGTCCTGCAAGAGCTTCTTGAGATGCCTGGCAATGACAATGCCGACCGACTTCAGCGTGTCTTTGCAGAGCATGGCTTGGACAGGACCAGGGCATATGACCAGTATGGCAACCAAAGGGCCACCTGGCTACCTCCGGCTGGAACCGAAGACAGCGCTGTCTGTATTGACTATTTAGGATGGCCAAGCACGTGGCATGATAGTGTCGATGACATTGGAGTCGTCAACCTAGAAGATGAACATGCTGGCATCGACCACTCGCCGGTTGTTGCATCTGTTCATGTCTCCCTTGTCAAAAGTGCACAGCGCCGAGGGGGTGTCAACAGGGCTGCTATGCGTACGGTTGAGGGGAGGGAGGTGGTGCGTGGTATCTTTGCCAGCGCTCCGTGCATCCCATGGGATGTACATGTTGATGACCACATCCGACTGCTGAATGTGCACTTTCAGCGTAGCCTCGCGGCAGCTTTCCCGCATCAGCAATCCCCGCCGCGCAAACCCACCCTCAGTGCAAGCACCTGGGCGTTGCTGCGTGCTAAACGCCACCAGCGCAGATGTTTTCGTCGGCGAAAGTTGCTTCAGGCCAGGTGGCTCATTGCGCAGTGCTTCGCTGCTTGGCGTCGAGGGCAGGGTGACCCGGATACCCTATGCCAAGGGATCAAGCGATTCGACAAGGCGGCAGCCGCTCACATACTTGTTATGCGCGCGCTTAGCAACCAGGCGCGTGCCAGCGGACGACAAGATGAGGCAGCCTTCACTAGACGTGTCTACGCAGAAGCACGATCCGATGGCCCCGCCGCCATTGCCAAGCAAATTCGCACTGTGCTTAAGCGTGGCCGAGGCGCGCGGGCTGCCCTGCCCGTCGTCCTGCATACCAGTGCGGGCGCCCTTCGCGAACCGTGCGAGGTCAAGGAGGCTTTCGCAAGGCATTTTGCCCAGTCTGAGCAAGCTGTTTCAATGCCCCTTGCTCAGATAGGTGCCAAGGCTCAGCCGCCGACATGTCTTCCTGATTGCCCGCTTGAGCAAACACCCTGTCTAGCAGATTTGATTGCTGCATTCGCTGGGATTAAGCCTGGCAAGGCAAGTGGTTTGTCGCAGATTCCGGGGGAATTCTACCAGAGTTGCCCGCTTCAGGCAGCACTAGCGCATGTGCCCATTATGTGGAAGATCCACAGTCGGCAAATCTTCCCGACATTGTGGAGCGGTTTGATAGCGCATGCTCTGCCCAAGCCCGGAAAATCACAGCCTGATGTAACTGGGTTCAGATCGGTTGCCCTTGTAGAACCAGCGGCTAAGTGCGTGCTGCGAGCAGCCCGACCAGCACTCTCTTCCGCTCTGGAAACGGTGGCCTTACCCAGTATGGGCGGAGCCAGAAAGCATCACCCGACTGAACTGGCTGCCCTTGGCACTCAAGCGCATCTCAGCGCCCTTGTTCGCCGCGCCCAACCTGGGGCAGTTCTGTACTTGGATGGCATGAGCGCGTTCTACGCCGTCCATCGTGCTCATCTTTTTG